GTGGAGTTGGGAAAGCTGGACAGCCACATTTAAATCAATGATGTTAGAACACTCCCTCACACCATACACAAATAAAAACTCAAAATGGCTTAATGGCTTAAACATAAGACAGGACACCATAAAACTCCTAGATGGGAACACAGGGAAAACATTCTCTGACATAAATTGTAGCAATGTTTCCTTAGATCAGTCTCCCAAGGCAAAAGAAATAAAAGCAAAAATAAACAAATGGAACCTAATAAACTTAAAAGCTTTTGCACAGCAAAGGAAACCATCAACAAAACAAAAAGACAACATACAGAATAGGAAAATAATATTTGCAAATGATGCAACCGACAAGAGGATAATATCAAAAATATACAAACAGTTCATGCAACTCAATATCAAAAACAAACAAACAAATAAACAATCCAATCAAAAAATGGGCAGAAGATTTGAATAGATATTTTTCCAAAGAAGACATACAGATTGCTAATAGGAACATGAAAAGATGCTCAATATTGCTAATTATTAGAGAAATGCAAATCAAAACCACAAGATATCACCTCACACCTATTAGAATGGCTATCATCAGAAAGTCTAAATAATAAAAAATGTTAATTATGGGATGTAGAGAAAAAGGAACCCTCCTACACTCTTGGTGGGACTATAAATTGGTTCAGCCACTGTGGAGGACATTATGGAAGTTCCTTAAAAAACTAAAAATAGAGTTACCATATGATCCAGCAATCCCACTCCTGGGTATATATCTCTGAAAAACAAAAACACTAATTTGAAAGATACATGCACCCCAATGTTCATAGCAGCACTTTTTACAATGACCAAGATATGGAAGCAACCCAAGTGTCCATCGACAGATGATTGGATAAAGAAGATGTGGTGTACATATATATATATGAATATTACTCATCCATAAAAAAGAATGAAATATTCCTATTTGTAGCAACGTGGTTAAATCTAGAGAATATTATGCTTAGTGAAGTCAAACAGAGGAAGGTAAATACTATGTGATATCCCTTACATATGGAATCTAAAAAATAATACAAATGAAAGTATATACAAAACAGGAACAGAGAGACATAGAAAACAAACTTATGGTTACCAAAGGGAAGAGAGAGGGGGCAGGGACAAATTAGTGGTATAGGATTAACAGATACAAACTATTATATGTAAGATAGATAAGCAACAAAGATTTACCATATCACACAGGGAATTGTACCCAATATCTTGTAATAAACTATAGAGGAATGCAATCCGCCAAAAATACTGAATCACTATGCTGTACACCTGAAACTAACACAATATGGTAAATCAACTACACTTAAATTTAAAATTGCATTAACTGTCAAAAAAGAAAAGATTAGGTGATGTCTGGGCAGCATTCGCAAACTTTTCTTTCAGGGCTTTAAATAAATGAATGTTTTGCTGAAAGCGTGCTTTTGGTTTTAAGGCTCATTGGATTCGCTGGTAAAATAACCATTCGGCTCATACAAATAAACAGCTTTAATCAATTCTTTAATGAAAGGTGATTTAACTTAATTTTAATATACAATCAATATACAAAATAATATACAAAAGAATAAGAATATTAAAAAAAGTAACAGGGTATACATCACCGAACTGGGCCGACACCTACTTTCAGATCCAAACAGCAGCTGGGAAGGCCCGAGTAACAGCAATCTGGAGCCCCAATTGGGAAGGGTCCCAGGCAGTGCGTCCACCCCACGGGTGAGACTTCAGGTCGGAGTTCTGGGGACTTCCGTTTATAATTCCAGGCCACAAACTGATATCATCAGTTTGCGGGCAAAAATGCAGCTCTGGTTCAATTGTAACATTGCTGTTAATTTCACCATGTGATTCCCAAGATTTTCCAGATCCCAGGGGCCTGGCCAGGTCCCCAGAGCTCAAGAAATTCCAAGACCCACTCCCTTTCTTATTGTAAGCGCAGCTTGACTTGCTAACAGCAATTGTTAGGTGTGCAAGCAGGTGTGCAGGGTCACAGGTCCGTCAGAGGCTTGCTTCTGCCTCTGAAGCCTAAACAAGACTACTTTATTAATTTTCCCAAGAGTGAAACCAAAACCTCTAAACTGGAATTACTATGCAAATATGATATACTTCAAACAGATCTCAAATATTAATTTTACTAAACCATTATTTTTACTGAAGCAAAATTTTATATTTAACCTTCTAGAAAACCCATATGAACCAGAATTAAACATATTATCTGCATTTTACAGTTGAGAAAAATTGAGGCTTAGTTTCTATAGAGGGCAGCCTCTCCTCTAGCGCTCCTAGTTCCTCTAGGGCAAGTATTCACCTGTGAGTTACTGGTACCTGTAGAGGGCAGGCCATATAGTTGATGCTCAAAAAAGATTGTTGAACTGAAATAGAGGCTCATAATTTGTCCAAATATCGGCATGCCTGAGACTAGGACACAATTCTCCTGGCTCCAGGTTTCCTTTGTTTATCTGCAACAAAAATGTATCTATAATTGCACACTCTGATCACATTACTATGATTATGTTTTTTTATCCTAAGGACCATACTTATCTTCCCCTTACTTTTAGATCAAATATGAGCAGCCCTTCTGCTTCCAAGAGCATTTGCACTTCTTCTCTGGCCCACTTATTTTGTTTGTTTTTTTTTGTTTATTTGTTTGTTTGTTTTAACTCCACTCTCTTCAACCTAGCTAAATGAGACTTCTTATTAGGTTCTTTATCTTTTCTCATACCTTTACTTTCCTTTCTTCTTTATATGCATATGAACGAAATAAATGAGCTCACTATCCTGTTTCCTTTTCTTCCATCACACTAGTCCCTTCTCAACCCCACCTTCGGAGCCAGCGTTAGTCACCTTAAAATTTCCAGGGTCCACTGAACAATGCTGGGCATTCCTGGTGTATTAAGATTCCCTTCCTCTTGAGTGATTCCCATCCATTCTCTGTGACTTGCCTGTGTCACATTCAGATTGTAAACCCAATGGACGAAGAACATAACTAATGCTGTGTTCACGAAATCCAGCAACAAAATGAATATTGCCGGTAGCAGCTATGACTATAACATTCAGAATTTTAATTAACTAGCAGACAATTGCATTAATATAGCTACTTTAAAACTCTCTTGGAACATATTTGACTCATTTTAGTCACTGCTGAAGTAATGAGCACAAGTGAAAAGCTGATGTAATGTTGATAGCCTCAGGAAAAGTTCTCTGGAACAATCTTCAGGGTGTTTTATACCTCAGAACACATAACCTCTTTCGTTGCTAAATCATATCTATTTCAGAAATGTTGCTATTAAGCAGTCAAAGCAGTATATTACATACATTCTCATGTTTTACAGACCATGTATTAATGGGCAAATATGCAGGTTGGTGTGTGGGTAGTTCAACACAGAAATCTTATAATTATTAGTGAGAATTACAGTCTTCCCTCTGTGTGACACTGAAAATCTGAATCTAAAAGCCTAATTATCACTTGCTGCCTTCTCTTTACATGAAATAATAAGACAATCAATCAAGACTCATAAACCTTTGATTTTTCACCTTGAAGGGCATGGGCAATGTCACAAGTGTCATTAACAGCTGGTGTTCTGTACCTAATGCTAATAGAAAACAGGAGGCTATTGGCAAATATGTCCTTGAATTACCTCTGAAAATGGAACTCTTCTCTTTTTGTATAGTAACACATCTCCATCTGAAAGATAATTTGCCTTGTATACAAAAATTTATATAAAAGGCTCATTTCTGAAGATATTCCATGGACAATTCTTTTCTTTTTTTTTCTTTTTTCATTATTTTGCTTTTAATTATCAGAGCATACTTGCTTTACAATGTTGTTAATTTCTACTGTACAGCAAAGTGAATCAGCTATACGTATACATACATTCCCTTTTTTTTGGGATTTCCTTCCCATTTAGGTCACCACAGAGCACTGAGTAGAGTTCCCTGAGCTACACAGTAGGCTCTCCAATGGTTCATTTTAGTTTTTAGGTTTGCCTGACCAGAGGATGTCCCTCTGCTGGCTTGATTTTTCTTCCCAGCAGCACCCAAACTTCCAATCTTCCACCCCTTCAAACCAGGTTATTTGTCCTGGTCTGCACCTTTAGTACTTACAACGGACTTGACTTGGTGAGCAGTGCATGATATGCACAAGGTTTAGATTCCCTCATCCTGCCAGCAACTCATAACCAGGACAAAACTAAGCTAATTCAAATCCTTTAGTTTGCCCTCTAGTCTACCAGTACCGTATTTTTGAGTTGGCACTTTCATTCTGTACCATCTTGCGCACCATTTTTCAACTAAGTATATCATGTTAATTGCTTGACCTAGGCCTCTCATGTGACCTTTTACTGGAAGTGGGGGGTGGGCAAGGGAATGCTTAACAAGCCAGAATGTCCATGTTCTCATCATAGTGCAAAACTAACGGCCTTTCTTGTTGGTTTAACCTGAGGGTGCTGGGGGAATTACAAAAGATACTAGGTCCATCGGCTAGACCGGTAGTTTCCTCTCCAGCCTCACAGTCCCAAAGCCTCCATTTTGGCCCATGCATCCAGCAGGAATTACACTCATCTGTCATCGCTCTCGCATGCATACCTAAACAAGGCCAGGCCAAAGTGCTCCTGGCCCTCTTTCCAAAGCACTTTTTCAGGACACCTGACCCCTCAGGCCTGTTTCTAAGTGGGCTAAGGCCACAGTGGACTTCCAATGAGCCTTTCACGTGACATACACAGGGCTGCAAAAACTTATGGCTGGGATACTTGAAACCAAAGCATAAGCATTTTCACAGGGGGTGGAGATCTGGAGTGGCAGAACTGATTTGCCATGCTCCACTCTCACTGATATTCCAGGAGAAACACTCTGGGACAGGAAGTACAAGTCTGGCACCAGAGTTTAGGACTTTTAATTTGTCCCAAATTTGCTAAAGCAAAAATCATGATAAAACATTCTGCTTTCCTTTATAACCCACCAACGCAAAAACGAAAACAAAAACAAAAAACTCCGTAGGAAAAAAATGGTTTTGTACATGGGAGGAAACAATATAAATTCAAAACTTACAGATAAGGGTTAGCTCTATCACTCATCTCTTTAAAAAGTTTATACGAATATCCAGTCAACACCAACAGGGTTATCTCCCTTGAAATGTTATCTATACGGATTTCCAAGTAGACCACAGGGCTGTATACTGTCTTGGAATGTCCTCAGAAGGCTCCGTCATTGAGCAGGTAACAGAGTAAAAACCTCAGAGTCCTTTCTTTCAAATGTAAGAGGGGAAGACAGGGATAGAAGAAACTATTCAAACTTCGTCTTCTTTCCTTGTGGCTTGTGGTCTCCTCCTCCTCTGCCTCCTCAGAAGCCTCCTCACCCTCCAAAGCCTCCCCAGCCTCGGCCTCCAAATCCACCTCGGCCGCCACCTCGGCCTCCTCCTCGGCCACTGAAGCCACCTTCACCCTTAGGCTTGGCCTAGTCCAAGGTAACTTTGTTTCCATCGATTTCGCCATCTTCCATGGCCTCCTTGACAGCTTTGGTCTCTTCCTCGCTGTTGAAGTCTACAAAACCAAACCCCTTAGAGGATCCAGCCTCCCGGTCAGTGACTATCCTTGCACGAATAGAGCTGTCAAACGACTCCTTTACTGTCTCTTCTGTAGTATCCTCAGATAGACCTTTGACAAACAGAGTTTTGGATGGCTGGCTTCTTGCATTAGGTTGTCCCCTGGGTCCTTGCAACTCCAGCCTGATGGCTCTGCCCTCAATTTCCCTTTTATTACATGAATTTAAAGCTTCTTTAGCATCTTCAAATGATGCAAATTCTATAAATGCATACTCTTTAGATTTGCCATTTTGGTTCTGGGGCACTTTGATAAACGTTGCCTTCTCAAATACTTCCTGAAGAGTTTCTTCCATTGCACTATAGGAGAGGTTGCTTAAAACCAGGGTTTTTGATTCACCAGTCCAAGTGCTATTCTTTCCACCTCTATAGTCTTGACTTTGACCTTTCCCTCCAGTATAGTACAGCGAAATGGATCACCCATCTATCTCTGTTCCCTGCTTTTCTTCCAAGGTTTTCTCTGCATCAGCTTCTGTCCTAAATTCAATATAAGCAATCCCTTTACACTTTCCATCCTTGTTGACTAATCTGATCTCCACAGCATCTTCAAACACTTCTTTTAATTCTTCCTGGGTAACTTTATAAGGAGGATTTTTAGCCAAAAGTGTTCTCACATCTCGTTCTTTCTTACTGTCTTTCCCCTTTGGTTTTTCTAGTTTAATTTCATTGCCAAAGACTTTTAAACCAGTGAGTTCCAAGGCTTTTTCCAGGTCTTCAGCAGATTCAAAATCCACATAGCCAAACTTCCTAGACACACCAATTCTGACATCAACAACTGCAAGATCAGTTTTTGCAAAAAGGTCACTGATACCCGTTTTCAATTCAGGAGCAGATTTACTGAAGTTCAGGTTTCCAACAAAGAGATTGAAAGATGTAATCGGTTCTGTGGCTTCCACTTTCTGTTTCTTGGCTTCGGGAGCTGCTTTTTGTTTGGCCATTTCCTTCTTTTGCTTTCCAGATGCTTCTTTGACAAGTTCTTCCTCCTCGTCCTCCTCCTCCTCGTCGTCGTCGTCCTCCTCCTCCTCGTCATCCTCCTCGTCATCCTCCTCATCTTCATCTTCAGCAGTGCTCTTTGCCTTCACAGGAGCAGCTTTTGCTGGAGCTTTCTTTCCTTTGGCTGGTGCAGTCTCCATAGCTTCTTCTTCAGAGTCATCCTCATCCTCGTCATCCTCGTCATCCTCGTCATCCGAGGCAGGAGCAGCAGCTGCTTTCATCACCGTGGGCTCGAATTCATCCTCCTCCTCCTCTTCATCCTCCTCCTCCTACTCTTCACTGTCATCTTCATCTTCCTCATCACTGTCTTCCTTCTTGGCATTCTTGCCGTTCTTTGCTCCCTTGGCTGGAGCGGCTGCTCCCTTCTTACCAGGGGTTGCTACCAATGCTTTGCCTGGTGTGGCTCCCTTTTTGCCAGGTGTTGCTACCGCCTTGGCAGGTGTAATTGTCTTCTTGGCTGGTGTAGCGGCTGTCTTTTTGCCAGGGGTGACAACTGCTTTCTTTGCCGGTGTGGCAACTGCAACCATTTTTGTTGGGGAAACCATCATCTTCTTTGCTGGAGTTGCGGTAGACTTTTTGCCTTTTTTCTGAGGAATAACAACCTCTTCTCCACTGCTACCATCCTCTTCATCTTCTGACATTTCCTCATCTTCACTGTCTTCTTCTACCTCCTTTGCGGTAGGAGCCATTTTCTTGGGGTCACCTTGATTTTTACCGGCCTTTGCAAGCTTTACCATGATAGCGGCTTAGGACTGCGGAGTGTGTGGCGAGCGAGTGGCACAGATGAGCCCAGAAGAAGCGAAGCAACGTCGATGGCGGCCGCTGATCGCAGAGCTCGTAAGCTTGGCTGCCAGCTAGAGCTCGCGACTCGACAATTCTTTTCTTAATTTTCTGTATCGTAATTAAAATCTATGACCTAAACCAATTTTTATAATATGTAATAATGGAATAAACTCAGAGTATTTAAATTATTATTCTTATTGATACATTTTGAGTCATCCATTTCTATAAAGAAAATTCAAATGTATTTTAACTAAATTCTATAAAATTTTACTGCATTCTTGTGCTAAACACTAGGATTGTGAGGCAGGTGTGGAGGTCTTTGCCTTCTTGGAGGTCACAGTTGATGAAGGAAAACATTAAATAGGTAATCATGGGACTGCTGAATGCTACAACTGGGGAAAAACAGGCAACTATAGGAGCATATGAAAATATGATTTAACTTAAGCAGAAGAGCCATCACCTCATGACTTAGGAAATGGTCCATTGTGGCCAATAAACTTTTCCACTCACCAGAGTCAGAACTAACTCTTTCTACACAAACCAATTCAGCAGGGCAAGGGCCAACCTAGTTAGCTCTATTGGTAATAGTCTGGAGCTATTGAAGTAGAAATTTTAGTTCCATTTTAGATCACTTGGCTTCCCGCAAGAGGACACTCTCCTCTCTCCCCACCCTACCCTGGCTAGTTGCCCCAGCCTCCAGCAAAATGTGTAAAATGGAAACTGCGTATAAGTATATGAATGAGTCGGCATAAACTCTCCTTCACTGGCAAGTCTAAGGAAAAGGCCCTGCTGATTGGGTCAGCAGCTGCATTTGCATGTGACTATGAAACCTATTATTACTCAGACAATACTTGGAAACATCCTTGAATGTAAATAAGAAGTTGAGATAGTGCCAGTTGTTTATTAAAATGCTTTTTAAATATTTGGAGTAAAGAAGAAGTGATATTTCATGGAGTCTAGAGCCAGAATTATGTATATTAAAAGCCATATTAAACTTTTCAAAACTATTCTGCTAAGCAAGAAAATGAAGGTAGGCAGGTTTTAATAAAAGCTTTTAGAATGGGCAATCAGAGTATTCCTTACACATGGCAATCAAAAATATCTGTAGATTGAATGAATTACTGCAAAGCTGAATCAGTGGGCTTGGGTTCTTGCCGTGTAAAACACCTTATGAAGAACCTAGTTTGCCTTATAGCAGGATACACAAGATCTAATTGCATGGACAAGATAGCATTTTTCTCCATTTTACTCTTGATGCCCGCTTTTCAGTGGTCATTTCAGCATTAACTTCCTCTCAAGGAGAAAGTGATAATATAACAGGATCCTTTCCAGATCATGTTCCCAGACTTTGTTAAGATTATTGGCTTGAAAGAAAGCACACAGCAGCCCTGACTGTAAGTCCCCTGGGCATGAAGTAGCAGCTCTCTGCTGACATGCTGCAGCATGAGGGTAAGAAGAAGCAGAGTATTAAAGGAAGAAGAAGCTGCTTATTCCAAACTGATAATGATCAAGACCCTCTAATACATAAACAGTAAGACACAGATCACAGGCTTGATCGTGTCCTAGATAAAATCCCTAAAAATAAGAGCCTAAATGTCCACCTTATGTCTGGCATTCTGTGTGTCCCTTCAGGGTACATCTTTGTCTGTGGTTTACCTATTTTGGACATATGAATGTCTTGACAGCTGGCAAAAAGCTAGTATTGGGATCAAAACGTTCAAACTGAGAGCAAGAGAATATTTTCAAATGAGTGCTAGATAGTTTCATTCCTCAATCCCTTGTTAGGTCTGTGCCCCTTATCAGCAGAAAGTGACCAGAGCCGTCATTGCCCCTCTTTCCCCAAGACTGAGAAATGATCAAAAAATGGGGGAACTGAAACAGTGAGCAATCAGTCAAATCCATTTCACCTGCATTCACTAATTAAGGTCATCTACAGAAGACTTGCTTGTCCTCCAAGCAGCACCTAAACAATAAGATGTTGCCCCAGTTGTTTTCCAGGAACTGGGGTCAGCTGTGTCTAGTTTGAGCTTAGCTATTAAGACAGGTTAGGACCACTGGCCCTACAAATGGGCATAAACAAGGGTCTGCTTGGTGATCTTTTGATGTCAGAGGGCATAAAACTCCACCCTCAGGTCATGCTAAGCAACTCCACTTTTAAATGTGCAAAGGACTGTAGCTTAGTTACCTCTGCACAGAACTGCGGTTACTGCACCTTTTTCTAATCACCTTTAGCCACGCTCGCTCCCCATTCCTCAGACGGCCCTACTTATTTACTCTTTATTCCACAAATACCCTAGCCCTCTGCCCTTGGGAAGGCATATCTGAGATTTGTTCTTCTCTCCTCACTTTGCTGCCTTGCGAATAAACCCTCTCTTTTTTTTTTCTTTTTTTTTTTTAACATCTTTATTGGAGTATAATTGCTTTACAATGGTGTGTTAGTTTCTGCATATGCATGTATCCCCATATCTCTTCCCTCTTGGGTCTCCCGCCCTCCCACCCTCCCTATCCCACCCCTCTAGGTGATCACAAAGCACCGAGATGATCTCCCTGTGCTATGCGACTGCTTTCCGTTAGCTATTTTACATTTCGTAGTATATATAAGTCCATGTCATTCTCTCACTTCATCCCAGCTTACCCTTCACCCTCCCCATGTTCTCAAGTCCATTCTCTGGTAGGTCTGTGTCTTTATTCCTGTCCTGCCCCTAGGCTCTTCATAACCACTTTTTGTTTGTTTGTTTTAGATTCCATATATATGTGTTAGCATACAGTATTTGTTTTTCTATTTCTGACTTATTTCACTCTGTATGACAGACTCTATCTAGGTCCATCCACCTCACTACAAATAACTCAGTTTCACTTCTTTTTATGGCTGAGTAATATTCCATTGTATATATGTGCCACATCTTCTTTGTCCAATCATCTGTTGATGGACACATAGGTTGATTCCATGTCCTAGCTATTGTAAATAGAGCGCAATGAACATTTTGGTACATGACAGTTTTTGAATTATGGTTTTTCTCAGGGTATATGCTCAGTAATGGGATTGCTGGGTCATATGGTAGTTCCATTTTTAGTCTTTTAAGGAACCTCCATACTGTTCTCCATAGTGGCTGTATCAATTTACATTCCCAGCAACAGTGCAAGAGGGTTCCCTCTTCTCCACACCCTATCCAGCATTTATTGTTTGTAGATATTTTGATGATGGCTGTTCTGACTGGTGTGAGGTGATACCTCACTGTAGTTTTGACTTGCATTTCTCTAATGATTAGTGATGTTGAGCATTCTTTCATGTGTTTGTTGGCAATCTGTATATCTTCTTTGGAGAAATGTCTATTTAGGTCTTCTGTCCATTTTTGGATTGGGCTCTTTGGTTTTTGATATTGAGCTGCAAGAGCTCCTTCTAAATTTTGGAGATTAATCCTTTGTCAGTTGCTTCACTTGCAAATATTTTCTCCCATTCTGAGGGTTGTCTTTTCGTCTGGTTTATAGTTTCCTTTGCTATGCAAAAATTTTAAGTTTAATTAGGTCTCATTTGTTTCTCCTTGTTTTTATTCCCATTTCGCTAGGAGGTGGGTCAATAAGGATCTTGCTGTGATTTATGTCATAGAGTGTTCTACCTATGTTTTCCTCTAAGAGTTTGATAGTGTCTGGCCTTACATTTAGGTCTTTAGTCCATATTGAGTTTATTTTTCTGTATGGTGTTACGGAGTGTTCTAATTTCATTAACTTACATATAGCTGTCCAGTTTTCCTAGCACCATTTATTGAAGAGGCTGTCTTTTCTCCATTGTATATTCTTGCCTCCTTTATCAAAGATAAGGTGACCATATGTGCGTGGGTTTATCTCTGGGCTTTCTATCCTGTTCCATTAATCTATATTTCTGTTTTTGTGCCAGTACCAAACTTTCTTGATTACTGTTGCTTTCTAGTATAGTCTGAAGTCAGGGAGCATGATTCCTCCAGCTCCGTTTTTCTTTCTCAAGATTGCTTTGGCTATTCGGGGTCTTTTCTGTTTCCATACAAATTGTAAAATGTTTTGTTCTAGTTCTGTGAAAAATGACAGTGGTAGTTTGATAGGGATTGCACTGAATCTGTAGATTGCTTTAGGTAGTATAGTCATTTTCACAATGTTGATTCTTCCAATCCAAGAATATGGTATATCTCTCCATCTGTTTGTATCATCTTTAATTTCTTTCATCAGTATATTATAGTTTTCTGCATAAAGGCCTTTGTCTCCTTAGGTAGGTTTATTCCTAGGTATTTTATTCTTTTTGTTGCAGTGGTAATTGGGAGTGTTTCCTTAATTTTTCTTTCAGATATTTCATCATTAGTGTATAGGAATGCAAGAGATTTCTGTGCATTAATTTTGTATCCTGCTACTTTACCAAGTTCATTGATTAGCTCTAGTAGTTTTCTGGTAGCATCTTTAAGATTCTCTATGTATAGTATCATGTCATCTGCAAACAGTGACAGTTTTACTTCTTCTTTTCTGATTTGGATTCCTTTTATTTCTTTTTCTTCTCTGATTGTTGTGGCTAAAACTTCCAAAACAATGTTGAATAATAGTGGTGAGAGTGGGCAACTTTGTCTTGTTCCTGATCTTAGTGGAAATGGTTTCAGTTTTTCACCATTGAGAACAATGTTGGCTGTGGGTTTGTCATATATGTCATATATGTGGGCCTTTATTATGTTGAGGTAAGTTCTCTCTATGCCTACTTTCTGGAGAGTTTTTATCATAAATGGGTGTTGTATTTTGTCAAAAGCTTTTTCTGCATCTATTGAGATGATCATATGGTTTTTTGTCTTCAATTTGTTATTATGGTGTATCACATTGATTGATTTGCAAATATTGAAGAATCCTTGCATACCTGGGAGAAACTCCACTTGATCATGGTGTATGATCCTTTTAATGTGCTGTTGGATTCTGTCTGCTAGTATTTTGTTGAGGATTTTTGCATCTATGTTCATCAGTGATATTGGTCTGTAGTTTTCCTTCTTTGTGACATCTTTGTCTGGTTTTGGTATCAGGGTGATGGTGGCCTTGTAGAATGA